GGGGGGGGGGGGGGGGGCTGTTGCTGCTGTAAACCCTAACCATGGAATGTTCAAAATGTTCATTGGAAATATTTTGTCTTTCTGCTGTAGCTTTTTCGGAGGGGGAGAGGCAGGTGGGGCGCAGCCCGTTTTAAATGTACCTCTGGTTTATTGCAACTTAGACCTTGGAGCATTGTGCTAGTACAGAGGTTCCCAAACTTTTTTTTATCTTTTGCTGGACCCCCTTTGGAGATTCATGTCCCATGCACGGGCCCCTCCTGTTGTCCCTTGGGGACCATGGTGGGGAGGGGTGTCCAGTACCCATGGGGGACTGGGTAGTCACCATGTAGGAGATGAGGAAGCCTTCCACTCCCTCCCATGGTTGGGTTGTCTCCACTGCTAAGACCCAGCTCCCTGCCTGTCTCACTCCTCATGCGCGCCCCTCCCCCCCTTCATGCAGCAGAAGTGAACCATGCTGCACCCTATGAGCACTGGCCCCCCTCCTGACCTTGGCCCTTCTGCGCAGCCCCACCCACTTCCCCCATGCAGGTTCTGTGTGGCAGGGGAAGTGGATGGGCCTCTGTGCACCAGGAAATTAGATGGTTTTTTTGTTGGTTCCTTCAGATGTTTGTGAGGTGAATGGGATGCATACAGCAGGAAAGAAACCAAGTGACAAATCACTCATGGAAAGTCTCTGTATTACCTTACAAATTATGGGTTTGGTGCTCTTAGAAGAATCAAATAATAAAAAATTAAAACTCAGAGTAATGGCCGTTGTCCCTTGAGGTCACTGAGAAATGGGCAGGTGATCCATCGAGACTGTGCTGGCTCTGTCAACAGCAACAACAAAGTTAATATCCTGCGGTGCCTATTGCATTCTTTACAGCAGCAGCACTTTAGATATATTTAAATAGAAGATAAAACACTGGTTGTGATCCTGGCAGCTTAACCTTGAACAAAGGCATGTTGCAGGCAAGCCGTGGAATGGTGCTGTGAAGAATAAGGACCTCTGAAAGTACTGGTTAGGTGATGGTTGGATTTTATTTATTTTAAAAAAGCTCATGCACTTTAGCCTTTAACAAGCAATCAGCATGCTGTCTAGGAAGTGAGAAAATTATAAAGGTTAAGCATAGGCTGTGTTCTGAATCTTAAAGGCAAAAACTAAAATTGGCTAAGAGTGAGCCAGTAGATATTGGCCAAGACTGGCTGGAAGCAGCAGATAAAGTCAAATAGAAAGATGCCAACTTCTGAGTGTTTTTCATGCTAAAAATAGCTCTGCCAGGAAGGCTATAAAAGCCCAAATGCCCCCTCCCCCCAATCAGAAACCAGTACCCATCAGCATAAAAAAGCCACTTCCACGAGTTGCAGAAGCTGTGTCAGCGAGAGAAGCTCTCCTGCCAACACAGCGCTGTGCACACGAGCGCTTATGTCGGTGTAACTTATGTCGCTTGGGGACGGTTAATTCACACCCCTTAGCAACATAATTTATGCCGGCATAGGCTGTAGTGTAGACATAGCTTATGAATTTTAGTAACTTGTTTAGATAGGACTCAAAAACAAAAAATGCCTTTGAATGGGAAGATTCAAATGCTGCAAATCAGAAAGCTTGCTGTAGAAACATTTTCATCACCATTCTTGCTCTGTGCTTGGGACTGTTCTTAGTTTTTTAAACTATTACATTCTGCCAGCAGTTCAGAGAGCTGATGAGGACCCTTTTAGCATCGTGATTCCTAGTTCTAGTTACACTGTCCTATCTTGCAGTTTGCCCCAGACCCAGCATCTCCCTGACAGAAATTAACATGGCCTGTAAACCGTTCTGCAATGTTATGTTGTAAGTCTCATCACTGCAAAACAATCTGCAATTTAAAATTATTTCATATTTGTGCTGCCCTAGCGCCTAGAGACTCCCACCAGAGAGCAATTGTGCTAGGCATTGTACACATGCAACCAAAAGATGGAAAGTCCTCTGCCTTTGTAAATGCTCCACTGTAGCTAGATTGAGAGGATATAACAGCAGTGAGCTCATTTTTGGGTGGAGTGCTGGCAGCAGCTGAAACAACTTTGTTGGATGGGGTATGCAGGGAGGGCGAGAGGAGGGAGGAGAGGACTATCCGTGGTGGGGAGGGGATCCCACTGGCATTCTCATGTTCAAAGTTGAGCCATCCTTTCTGGGATGGGCCCATTAACAAGTTGACATGAAACGCTGCTTAGGGAGGGAAAGATGCTGGCCTAGAGATCAAGATCTGGCTGTGTTTACTTTGCAGCTTACTTTCTTTTAGCCTCTGCTTGACAACATAGATGTTGCTCCTTTAGCTGCAGGGGTGGGATGTGCTTGTTTTAAGGTTCTGCAAAGTACTTGAGTAAGTTTAATTTTTAATTGTGTTGTTTTCCTGAATATTCTCCATTGCCCTTGACTCCCTGATTCGTTTCCAGTTGTTTCTTCTGCTTTTACTGTTCAATTCGCAACCTCTTCATAGCATTACTTATTCTCCATTGATGTCCGCATTCTGAGTATCGTCTTACTCACTTTCTATAGACTTCCTTTCCCTGTGAAGTCTTGCATTCACTGCCCCACACATCAAGACCAGTTCCTTTGGTGATCACTGGGAACAAGAGAGGAAATACCAACCTTCAAAATGAATCTACAGTGTCCTTGCAGCCTGTGGAAGCTGGACTACTGGGCCTGGTGTTTATCTACCTCGATAACCCCAAATAAAATGTTTTTTCCAGTGAGGGTTCCCCTCCTCCCCTGCATGTTCCTGTTTTGTACCTCAATAGTGACTTCTTTTACAGAAGTCCAGCCCAGTCTTTTGTTTTTGCTTATAAGTAAGGATTTACATCAGTAGGATAGTAATTGATTTACTGTCTCAATCATACTGCAGCATGGTAGGTTGAAACAGCAGCCAGAAAACGATCTGTACTCTTTGTATACGTTTACAGCCCAGCAGTAAATCAGGAGTTACTTCCCATTGTAATGTTACTGTAATCTAGGCTATGTCATAGGACCTCATTGTTATGATGGCAGATGACCTCATCTAAGTTAAAATACCTGGTTAAACTTAAACAACTTTTTTAATAGCATTACTAGTGTTGCGTTGTATGTAGCTGCAGAAGGATGAAGAGTCTGCATGGAAGGGACCCAGGTATTTAGGAAAGGGGTTATAATAGCACTACAGTCAGGCTGGGTGGGAAAAGCTGGGCAGGATGGCTTCTGCATGTCCCAGACATAGGCCAAGTCTACATTAGAAACTTTTGCCAGTATAGCAGTATTTGTTAGGGGTGTAACTTCTCTTGCAGTATTTCTATACCAGAAGATGTCGTAGCATAGGCACGGTTTATAGCAGCATAAAAGAACTTCTGTGGGTATAGCTTATTTCACCTGGGAAACTGATGTAAGCTATGGAGGCAAAAGCACTTCTTTGCCAGCGTAAGCAAGAACTTCTGCCATATAGAAATGTTGGCAAAACTTTTCTAGTGTAGACCTGGCCACAGCAAAATAATGGTTTGTCACATAATCATTTACAGCAAGGTTTTCAAACTGTGGGTCGGGACCCCATTGTAATGGGTTCTCCGGGACTGGCCAAAGCCTGAACCCCACCACCTGGGGCTGAAGCCGAAGCCTGAGCCTCAGCACCTCGAGCTGAAGCCCAAGCCCAAGGGCTTCAGCCCTGGATGATGGGGCTCAGGCTTTTGGTTTTGCCCCCCCCACCTGGGGTGGTAGAGCTCAGGCGGGGTCGTGTAGTAATTGTTGTCACAAGAGGGTCACTGTGCAATGAAGTTTGAGAACCCCTGATATACAGAAACTGCCAGGAATTTAAAGGAGGTGACTGGAGAATAAAATCTTCAGGCACGGTATCTAAAACAAAACATGCAGGTTCTCCTATACTGACTGCATGCTGCTCCAGTCTCCACAATGAAGGGTGCCCACTGGCCCATCTTTACAGGGCGCCACCATGCAAAGACGCGAGTGCTGATTTAGGCTGTTGTTTCTGTCCCACTGGTTAATTCTCTGATATTGTCCTGTGGCTATCTTTCAGTGCCATTCGGCACTTAATTTATTCCATTAAGTCACCCAAACTAACTGGCTGAAGGATGGGCACCTGGTTACTTTCGGTTTGCAGAAGTGGGAAGCTGGACCTCTTGTACTCGATCTTGGGAAAATATTTCTTAGCGATTGTTAAATTCCCTTACGTACTACCGGTAGTAGATTTTCACTGTCACAGCCATGGTGAGCACGCGAGAGAGATGCTATTAGGAAGATTAACATGAAAGCCTTGTCCTGATTTGAATTTGGACATAACTGTGTGCCTTTAACATGTTAAAATGGTCAAGTTAAAGCCTCAGGGAGTCTTGAAGGCACTCTGTTATGTCTGCACTAAGCTACTAATACCTTCAGAATCCTAGTCTAAACTCCTAAATGGTTAGAGCATCAAAGTAGTCTTGCCTACTGTGTGAGGTTCTGCAAGGCCTGTACGTCAGCTCTCTTCTAGAGGTGGTAGTTATACACCTACATCTTTTGTTTGGAAATACCAAACCCTGACTGGCACATACAATACCTCCTGGGTGTCTTGTGTTTTAAGTATTCTACCATGTCAGATTTGCTGAATGCTGACATGTGGATGGCCACTGACTAATTTATTTCTAGGACGCTTCTATACTCCAAACCACTGTACTGATGTGTGTTGTGGCCTGGTGGTGGTTTATCCTCGTGAATCCAGGCTGACTTTCAGTTGCCTGAACTGAGCTGCATGCTGGGGAAGATGTTGGATACCTATGTTTCCAGCTTTCAAATCAATAGTGGCAAATAATGTACTGTGCACTCAGAGCCAGACTTGTAAAGGTATTTAGCGGCCTAAATATGTAGATAGGCCCTTCTGAAAATCCTGGCATCCCTGAATCTTTAGGCACCTAAATACCTTTAAAGATTAAAAGCCAACCCTCCAGGGTTTATAAAGTGCTTTGTGAACATTATAACTACTGCCTGCTGGAAGAAACCCTTATGGCCTCTTTCCCTTTTGTAGGAACAAACGCCAGCCTGGTCCGGATACAGAAACTTGTCAACTGATGGGAACAAAGAACTGAGAGATTTGGCTTTACCAGGACACTAAACACGATTTAAAAAAAAAAAAAATACAGGGTTCCACGGAACTTCTGCTGTGTGGTGGTGGCCTTTCCTTGTCAAACACTCTAGCAGTTTGGCAGGATCTTCTTTACTACTTTTGCACCTTCCAGCCTCTCTCACATCATGTTGTTTCTCTTGAACTTTATTGCAGGATAGTGCTGGCTTCCCTCCCCTCCCCCCTTTTAAATGCTTTGGTGTGGGTCACTCCGTGCAAGCTGTTGGCATTAGATTGGTGTTTCTGCATTTCTTCAAATTTCTACTTGGAGATTTCTCCTGAATATTATAATTGACCTGCTTTTTCTTTTTCTTTCACTGTATCTCTGTCACATTCTCTTCAATTCCACTCTCTTGCTCCTTCCCACCTCTGCCGTTGCAGGTTCATCATGCCTAGTGGCATATAAAAAGACACCTCCCCCCGTCCCACCTCGGACCACCTCAAAGCCGTTCATCTCTGTCACCGTGCAGAGCAGCACCGAATCAGCCCAGGACACCTACCTGGATAGCCAGGACCACAAGAGCGAAGTCAACAGCCAATCGGGACTGAGTAATTCTTCAGACAGCTTAGACAGTACCAGAACACCCAGTGTGACAAAAGGCAGCCTTGTGACTCCAGCCAGAGATGCTCCAGAGTTACCCCAGAAAAATGCAACCTTGAAAAGTGACAAAGGAACTCTGACAAGTGAAGAGCCTAAGGTGGAGAATATTCCCAAAAGGAAGCTGTCGTCTATAGGAATACAAGTATGGAATAGTTTGTACTCCTTTGTGTAACAGAGAATGTTCTTAAATGTATCTAGTTAGCATGTGTCTTGTAACCAAACCTGCAGCTGAACCCACCCGGATAGCTAAAGAAATTAACCAGTTTGTAGAGCAATCATCCAGGGCACTCAGAGGTGAAATACAACAAAATGTTGCTATAACAGGAATGTGTTCAGTACAAAATTAAAACGTGTCATAAAATAATGTAGCTCTGTTAAATGGGTAATTCTCTTTAAAGGGGCTTCTTGCCACAAGTACATATGCACAAATGCTAGAGTTTGTGTGCCATATACTGTATTTTACGGTCAGTCTGCATGCTTTCAGTCTGAGTTCAAGGCATAGCTTCATTTAAGATTCAAACTCTTCTATTATAGAACTATTAAGCATGTTTGGGGCTGCTATAGTGTGTAATGATTATGGCACCATGGCTCTGATGCAGTCTATCTGTGGGAGTGCCCCTCCTTCACCCCTATTGCTTCTCTGAGAACTTCTGTTGCTGAAAGCCAACAGAACATGCAAACTAATGAAAACCAGTTGCTAGCTTTATAGCCCAATGAAAACTGCTCAAGGAGAAACGTGTATCCAAGCTTTGTCCTGCAAAGGCTACTTTTGGAGAAGTTTTTTAAAAAAGCCTAATTTATTTGCATTTTGCTTGTGGACAACATTTCAAATGCAGGTGGTGAAACTTTATGTTCACCTGTTGTATCCACAAGCGCCTGCTGCACGTCACCTTATGACATGCTGAAGTGGTGGTAATCTTCCCACTTGCAAGTTTAAATGCAAAGCATGTGCGTTCGGCAGGTGTGAAAGTGCCGTTTAAAACACACCTTCTACAGCATCAGACTTTCCAGTTTTGTTCATCACGTAGAAATGACCCTTTATCCAACGTAATGTGCATCTCGATATCACCAGGTTAAACTCCTCTATGTTGAAGCCATACCCAAGCAGACAAGTTAGTTCTTGTTTACCATCTTGTCCACAGTTAATCATTCTGAATGCCATGGAAGTTCGGCAGTGCAAACTGTACATTCAATATGAGGCTTTACATTGGGTTGTGAATTGTTCTGCTGCTGAAATCTAGCTGGCAGAGTAGCTTCCAATGTCACTTCGATATTGATTCTTCCCCACAGAAATAGTGGGAGTTGGAGCAAACAACTGTGGGGTGAAGGGGTAGAGGGAGAATTCCCTTTTTAAAGAGTCTGACTGTTTCAATCTGCTCCGCCCCCCCCCCCCACCACCACACACACACACACCCTATTCTGGGGTTGAGGTTCTTATGCTGTGACCCATGCCTCCCTACCTCCAGTACCTGGATTTCACTTACGGCTGCAACTAACTACTCAGGGCTTTCACGTTGTTCTTGGGTGGGGAGAGGGGAAGTTGAGGAGAGGATACTAGGGGCTGGTCCCCACTTAGTCCAGACTTCGGACTAAGGTACGCAAATTCAGCTACGTTAATAACGTAGCTGAATTCGAAGTACCTTAGTCCGGACTTACCGCGGTCCAGACGCGGCCGGAAGTCTCCCCCCGTCGACGCCGCGTACTCCTCTCGGCGAGCTGGAGTACCGGCGCCGACTGTGAGCACTTCCGGGATCGATCCGGGATCAATTTATCACGTCTTAACCAGACGCGATAAATCGATCCCAGAACATCGATGGCGTGCCGCCGGACCAGCCGGTAAGTGAAGACTAGGCCTAGGCTTCAGAAAGTTTGAGAGCCCCTGTTCTAGGGATGCCCTTTTGACAGTCAGGCTATTGCCCTCTCTTGAGCCTCAGAATGGCCATCTGCCTGCCTGCCTTGTACATGCAGCTGCTCTGAGGCATCAAAACCTTTCCCCTACCTGTTGTTTCTATTGTGGCAGTTGATAGAGCCAGATCCAGAATGGCTGTCTGATTACTGCAGGGCTAGGGATAAAATCTGACGTCCTCAGCAGATTGGGGCACTGGTGACTTCTCCTTAGGCTAGCAGTATTGTGCCATCCATCCTAAAACAGCCTTGGAATTGCTTTACAGCATCTGTATGCTCTGTGTGCGCGCGCATGTGGTTGCAACTCTCCTGTTATACTATCATGAATTCTAGCAGCAAGTTTTTGTTTGTTTGTTTGTTTGTTTGTATTTTTTTATTTAATAAGGTTGACTGCCTTCAGCCAGTGGCAAAGGAAGAGCCCCCTACGCCAACCACCAAATTCCAGTCCATCGGGGTACAGGTAGAGGACGAGTGGCGGTAAGTGAGAGACACAGGCTCTTTTATTTTATCCCTTTAAACTACACTTTGCCAATTAGCTTAGACCCATGTCTCGCCTCAGTTTCATGTTTCAGTACTAACTGTGTTGAGCAGCATGTGCTTTTATCAAAAAAAGTACTTGCTCTGTAATGTAAACAGCTAAATCAATGGGAGCTTGAAATAAAAACCGAACCCAAGATGTAATTATAGATGCGCGTCAGTCATTTTGTCTGAATGGCCTATTGCAGTAAGCAGGCAACCTTATAATTTTGTCTGTCTGCATGTATGGTGTGGGTATTTGTGTTTTAAGGTGGAGGGGCTGGGGGGGAACAAGGCTCAGCTGCAGATACCGTAAACAAACCCGTTGCATTGTGTACCAGTGTGTGAATCCAGCCAGTTGGAGGGCTCCCCTTCATTCTCTTGTTCCTGCTCTTTCTGCAGAAACAACCACTCTCGCAGTATGTCCTCCAAACAGGACGCCGATTCCGACGCACAGGAACCGAATCACTCAAACTGTAAATCGTCTGAGAGAAGCCTTGCTGATTGTCCCCCGCGCTACAACTCTGTCAGTGTTGATGCCAGTACCAGGCAGCCAGCCAAGCCCTCCCAGTTCAAGAGAAATCTCTCCTATGGAGATAGCAGTGACCCAGCCCTAGAGCCTTCCTCTCTCCCTCCTCCGGACCCTTGGCTCGAGACATCCTCCAATTCACCATCAGAACCAACACAACCAGGAGCCTGCAGGCGGGACGGGTACTGGTTTCTGAAACTCCTGCAGGCAGAAACAGAAAGGTTAGAAGGATGGTGCCGTCAGATGGACCAGGAGACCAAAGAGAACAATCTCTCTGAAGAAGGTGGGTGTTGAGAACTGCATAGCACTCGGGAGGAATGTGGGGTGTAACTGGAACGGGGCAAACCTGTTCATAATGGCCAGATACAGGCACTTGTGGTGGGATAAAATTTAAGAAAAAGAGAATTGAAGCTGAGTAACTGGAGAATCTTCCTGACAGAGAGGGTATGTCTTCACCGGGATAAAAAAACCCGTGGCTGGGCTGGGTCAGCTGTCTCAGGCTGCAGGGCTAAAAACCCTGTGAGGGGGGACATACCCTGAGACTTGCTAGCATGTGGAACAATCTGACAAAGGAAAGGGGTGGTGCTGGCCAGGAAGGGACTAGATGGGATAAGCTTTAGAGTCTGATTCTAGAATCACACGGAGCAGGCAAAGAGTGAGGTTACTTAGGAATGTAAATGTGGGTGATATTGCTACAGTGGGCATGATCTGTACCTAGGGCTGGGTTGTAACGCTACAAGCTGCACTGCCCTAGGAGTGACTCAGACACAAATCACTGCTCCATTGTTTGGGAGGTACGGGGCACTTACATCATCCTTTTTACTCTTCATTTCCCCTCCCCCAGCCTCCATGCATAAAGCCAGCTACTCTGGCTGCCAAGTTGGACAGGCAGTGTAGGGCTGTTCCCACTCTTGGACCCTCCTCACCTGCTTGCCTGCAGGGGCGGTATCAAGGGACCAGCTGTGCTCTCCCCCCATGGCAGGAGCTGCACGCTGAGCAGCCCGTACTCATTTGAGCAAGGGAGGAATAGGGCACGGGGTCCATCTACCCCTTGGTAAATATTTCCCAGCAAATTCTTTAATGCAGAATTAAGTGTGAAAGTGTGTTAGGAGAGAGTCCAGCTCATGCCCAACAAACCACACTCAAATACCAAAAACAGTTTAAAAAGCCCAGCAAATGAATTGGTAAAGGATCGATCGTTGAGTTCCTCACTGCCATATGAGCCTGTAATGCATTTGAGAGCTCTAGCTTTGTTTCATCTGAGCCTCCAGTAGTAACAAGCCCAAACACTTTTGTTGGTGGCAAGAGGGGACAATGTTTCCACACCTAAGAGCTCCGCTGAGCACTCTGAGGAAGAGTCTTTAAATCCTGGGACCTCAACTGCTCAACATCTAAACCTTTCTGTGAAAAGAGATGGTTGATCTGCTCTCCTCATGATTCTCTTGTAT